GCTAATCCCGGCGCCGACTAAAGAGCGATCCGAATGACGATTAGGGATGAAGAACTCAACGACGCTCCCCCCTCCCCGCCCCCCCGGGGAAGACATCCTCACCTCCTTCCCTCGGTTGCAGGTTCTGTTGAGTCAACAGAAGCAGATGAACGGAAGCATTCCGTGGTGCCGGAGAGTCTCCGAGAGGGAGGAGGCTCTAATAAGCTCGCAGTTACTTATTTGCTGCTTAAATCTTGGCACAAAAAGACGTATAAATGAGAGCAATTATTGAACTTAAAAAACATTACAATTATGCTTATCACTGAATTGAACTGGGTAATTAGGAGAAGAACTGTGTGGAGGATCTGTGTATTTTGGGTCTGATTACTGCAGATTCCCTCCTGCAGTACGAGCTCCGTTCCCTCAAACACGGAAGGAAATAGATCAAACAAATGAGGTAATAAAAATGGGATAACCAAACCGAACTATTAAAATACACAACAGGCTTTATAGTGAGCAGGGATGCGTCCGATGGGAAGTCATCGTCACTGGTTCCCTCCACAAAACACTTTTATGACGTTTGAAGAAGAAGTTAAAGAAGCTCCACTGTTTGCAAACTTTAAAATAGCTCACGGTTGTGTTAAACACAGATCTGATTTGAGACATCTTTCCAAAACCAGAATTAAAAAAAGACATCGCGGGAGCTGAAAGTGCAAAAATGCTGACATAAGGTTGTTTTTACACTTGTTCCTGCAGGAAATTAAAGAAGCAGCCTTTAAATTCTTGTGTGATTTTGCAATGTTTTTGGGCAGAGGGGCAAATTTAGGATAGTTCTGTTATCGATAGAAAAGGATAATACTGTTCCAACACTGACAGCGCTTCCTGTTAAAAGCTGGTTTGGGGATGGAACAGAAACAAGCACAAGCACTTTAACTTAAAATGAATCGATTGTCTCTGTGCAAAAACGTTCAATAATTCAATAACTCAATGATTTAAAAAAAACTATTTTCCCACATCAATGAAAAGCTTTGGATGGATTCGCCTTCAACACCAAACAGCAAATCGGTATTTATTCTTTACACCTTTTTGAAATTCAACACCATTTTAGATGCGAGTAAAAAGCAACCCCCAAACTACCAAAATAGAAATTTCCCACCACCGCCGTACATTTCGCCCAGAGAGAATCTTCAGGGGCTTCATTTGATATAAAGAGATGTTCCGCTCACATTCAATGGATTTGATGGCAACGGGGCATCGAAACACCGAGCGGCCCGTTGACGCCGCGACCGCAGGAGGCCGCCCGTCGGGCTGTTTGGCTTCGCGTGGTCACAGAACCGACTGGGCGCTTGACGGAATTGAGCGCGACACGTTGTTTCTCTATCCATGCTTGACCCCCTGCTGGACACTTCACACGCAGTGACAGGGTGGCAAAGATCACGTGACAAGGGTCACTAAACATGGCGAGGAGGGGCTGAGAAGTAAACAAGGGCAGAGCGGAAGGGTTTCTCTCCCCAGGTGAGGCCGCGCTGTCCGGCTCCTGTTTCTATGCCAACGCTCAGACCGCCAACGTCTCCGGGGCCCGGCGCCGACCGGCCGCAGCCCCCGCTGAACTAAACGCGCCATATGGTGTGATTGTTGGTCGCACGCTCTGACGTTGTTCCCCCTTGGAACCCGTTGGCATCCATTCTCTGTCACTCATCAATTGTGTTTGGAAAATCGGAAGTCTTCGTGGTTTTTCTGCGTAACCCATAAACCTCCGATGGCGTTTATTGGAAACACTTTTCACCAAAGTGTGCAAAGAGACTACGGAAATTAGTTATTGTTTAAAATGTTGCCTTGAGTGTCAAGTTTCCTTCCCATTTCTAGTTCCCCTTGTGGATGTAGATAAAATCAGAGGTTCCTATATTGTCCCACAGTTTTGACCCCTTTAAACTGCGTCTTCATGTTCAGGCCTTTAACAACTGGCCACAGGTCACATGCTACCAAATGCATCGAGGCTGCTCACCGTTTGCACTACGTGGAGCTTTCAAATCACTGCGCAACTCTGGTTTCACTATTACCGCAAAGCTGCGTTCACCGAAGAACCGGCCCAGACAGAGTCCTTCACAGCGCCGGCAGACCCTGCAGGGCTGTGATTAGGTGGGTTTTCTTTTGTTAGTCCTCTGGAGAACTCGCATAATAATTACTGCTCTTAGACGAGATCTCATCTCAGAGGTATTTTAATGCCCGCAGTCAACACGGCCTACGTCATCGCTCACAGCTAACTGCAGATGTGGTGAGACTCTCCGTTCACTTAACTCTGTGCCATAAGGTGCTTCAGTCAGAGGGGGAAACGGCGACTGCCGCACGGAAGGAGACCTTTTCGTGGACAAATATCAGCGGCCTGCAGTCGGCGGGGAGGGTCGGCGGGGCCTCGGGGGGGTGTTTGACCCCTCGGCGGTGGACTTACCCCTGTTTGGCTGCTCTGTTCTTGTTCACGTCGACGGTGGTGATGGAGTGCTTGGCGCCCGACTGGACCTCCCAGTCCACCTTCCACTGGGTGTTCTTCGACTTGGTCTCCAGCAGGTTCACCCCTTTCTTGGCTTTGACCCTACGGGGAAACAGAGAGAGAAACGGGGGTGAATCGTGTGCCGTGTCATAGTTTAAGTGAAGTCATTCAGTCAGCTGCATTGATTCCACAAATGAGTCGATGGCTGAGATGAAGGAGATAGAGGAGGACAGAAGGCGAGGACCACGCCAGGTCACAGTGTCCACCGAAAGCCGGTCGGCCCGTGGCGTTTACTCCATTAGGCACCAACATCTGGAAGCTTCCGGGTCCAACGTGTACTGAAAGATGGAATAATGTCGGGGGTCCAGTGTTGAGTCACTCGGCTCCTCGGGGGAGAGCATACGGAACGGGACGGGATTTACATATTTTGCTCAAGGACACCTGAGAGGGTGTTTGAACCTGGAATCACGCTCGCGCCCCCTGCAGTCTCTTCCTACCCCCACATGAGATAACCCAGAGACTAAGGGGGCAACTACGAGCGCTGCAGAGACGTCTTCAAATACGCACATTTTGAATAAATAAACATGTTCTGCTTATATAAGGATCACCACAAACAGTGACCCCGTATACATGCGTGTTGCTCGTACACACACGTGTGCACACGCGGACACGCACGGCCGCACATTCCCATACAAACACTTTACTCTCACAGGCTTCACACGCACACAACAAACAACTCTGCAGCATCGCACATGTCCTCCGCTCCCACAGATGTTGTGTTACCAACCGATCCGCTGAGAGATTAAATGTGAAATAAATATATACGTATGTGAAAAAGATTTTTTTACCATTTCATATTTGGCTGCACAGTCCAGATAAAAGGGAATTTTTGGTTTGAATAGTGGCCGAGGCACCGAGCGAGACCTCATTGTGCACACTGATGACGGTGCACCTTGTGATGAGTCCTTTGTGCCGCCACCCGGACAGAATACGGAACAAAGCCAGAACGCGAGAGCACTCGGCGGGCATCGTGATGCCCGCAGGAACACGTCCGCGGAGCCGCAGAGCACTCGTGGAGGTTATTGATCCGATGATCTCATTTTCGTGAAATCCAATACGGGGGATGAATTATTAACATATCTGGCCTCTTCTCTTCTGTTCCTTGGCCGCCTTGTGCCTTCAGGTCAATTTTTTTTGACTAAAACACAGACGGGAAGCGAAGCTAAAGGTCACATTTCATGCTCAATTCTCAGGTTGATACGACTGGAGCATGTTTACATGCTCTGATGTTTGAAAAGCACTGAGTTCGTGGTTAAAATGGGCGGCGAGCATTCGTCCATGAAATGAGCTGTTGGATGCTGTTTTCTTAAAAGGCCCCGGACCCGCACACACGCAATGTCGCACACCGTTGAGATGTTAAAGAAACCCACATATGATTACGTGTTCGACACCACGTGACGATGAAACAAAGAGAATCAGGCGCCGCTCTTCAGAAAGACTCCGGGGGAGCTCACTGATATTCATCATTTTCTCATTTAATTCAGTCTGAGAGTCTGAGACTGCCTCCCCCCTCCCCTCCCCTCCCCTCCCTCCCCCCACCTGCGACATCTTCCAGATCGTTCCATTTATTTCTCTGATAGATAAGAATTGTGAAGTCCCGGCGAGGTGTTTCCATTTGCCACGCTAACGTGCGCTCGCTGCATCGGCCACTCAGCCGTGATTTGTGAAAGCAATTGACTTTCAGCCGGCGCCCCCCTCCTCCTTCAGGGGGGGGGGCTCATGGGCTCAAACGGCCTTTTAACGTCAGCTCAGGCAAAAAGGTGATAATAGCCGTCGACTCGAGAGTGAAAATCTGTATAAAACCTGCAAATGGAAGCAAAGTTTCCTCATTTTCCGTCCTAAATGTGCCTCAAACCCTTTTCTAATTTGTGTGAAACAAACAGACGAAGACGTTCTCGAACTCTGTTCCCGTGTTATTGCAGCTCTTATTGTCTTCTTTCATCAAACCCCCCCCCCCCCCCACAAGAGAAAAACGCAGTAATCACCTCGCGCCGCTCCGTCAAGGGGGAGATGAAACAGAAGACACGTAATGTTTAGGAAATCACGCCGATCGGCCCTTTGATGCCCGTTGAAAAAAGGGGGGGGGGGGGGGAACGTAACACCCCCGCCCGACGCTAAACGAGGTGACCCAGTTGCCGCTTGATCTCCTGCCACACCGATCATCAAGCGTCATTGTGGGGCTGCGGCGGTCGGGATGCAACCCCCGGTGAGTAATACGTGCATTTATATTCATCGCCTCCGCTCGCCGGCTGCTTAAGGAAGCCGCTGCATATTCATCGCCACCTTTATACAGAACCGGCGCTTTTAATCACACCGCCTTTCTCTTGGTTGAATATTTTGTTGCACCACAAACGAGGAAACGGGATGACGCCCGAGTCAGACGCCTGATTAGCTGATTCAGGGAGGTGCAACGAGTCACATGCGGCCCGGTGTCCCCGATGCGATGCAGACCCGTTCCGCCCGTCCTCCACCTGAAGACGCGGTGGGATGTTATCGCCGCGTGTCGCGATACCATCTTAATACAATTTTAAACGTTTTGCATTTTGCTGCACCTCGCGGGAACATGTGTTGTGATGTTTTACCCCTTTTTCAGTAAGTAATACCGTTTGTCAACATCTCTTTTGCCAAATAAGATTAGGTTTTCGCTCAGTGGAACCAGCTGGTCGCTTCTTTTTGTATCACTTTTTTCTTGCAGCGAAATGGGTTGGAAAAGCAATTTCTATCAAAAAGGTTTGCCTTGCATTTGCTATGTGACCTCTGCCGTTGACCCTCTCAGGAGCAGCTGAGCAGGTTCAGTCTTCTGTCCTCTCGCGTCGGAGTCTCTCGAGGTTCAAGTGGAATAACGAGACGGGGGGCGGGGCGCTAGCCTGTTAGCATGCTCACTTTTGAGAGCATGGATCGCACTCCACCGGTCACGGGGGGGGGGGAAGACGTGCTCTCCACCCGCTTACAACCGCCGTCAAGACATCGCGCTGTGTTTAAAACCGTCTTATGTGAACAAATAAAATATGCAAACCGGAACTAAATCAAATCAAAGCTCCCAAGTCCTAATTTTTCCTTAATGGCCCTTTTACAGAGTATTTATTGTACACATTTGAGAACGTCCCCACAGGCAGAGAACTCATAAAACTGGAATCTTTCCCAAAGCCTAATGAGACTTTAAAATATGTTTTTTTTAGACTTTAATTAATTTGAATCTCGCCAATGTCGGTGTAATACTGCAGGATGAATGTGGCTGGTTGTCCGTGTACACGGCCTGGATGGCGTGACATAAGCGTGCTGACGTGGTCGCGACGTGGTCGTGACGGTTGGTGCACCGACGTCTTGGATCCTCAAATGTCGCCGTCTTGGCTTTTTGAAACCGGCAAACAGAAGCGACCACATTTGGTCTGCTTCTGCTAGGAGATGTGTCAATCACAAGGTAGCCCCGCCCTGACCTAACTTACGGCTCCTATTGGTCGAGAGCGGTGGCGCCGTCCTGCGTAGGAACAGATGATATTTGCTTTACCGGAAAGAAAAGATAATTGGATTCTAAAATAGTAATTTAAGCTAAATACAAATTAAAATTGAAAATGTGTTCATATGTGAGGACGATTAGAGGCCTGTGGAGGCCAAGGCGACCCGACCCGACCTCTCATGGAAAACATCACCACGCAGCAACACAACTCCAACTCTCGAGTGGCGACCCGTCTTCTCCCCGGGAGCGCCAGCACCAAGCGTGTCAATCACTTCGAGCACTCTGATATCTGTTTATCTTCACAAGCAAACAGCTTTGAGGGGTTTTTTTTGTCCTTTTCGGGAATCTGGAAAGCCGGAGAGCGAATCGGCCGGGGACGGACTTTTTTCAAATTAAAACACGTAAAGCCGGCGAAGTATCGAGAGCGCAGCTGCTGGTTTGCTCACACGTTGGAACTGATGTATTTCTTGGTGAAAACGAGCAACGCGGTGGAGCGATGAACGACAGCGCACTCCAAGTTATTAACACCCCGCGTTTGGCGAGAAAAAGAGCAGCACGCCGACCACAACCGCTCCTCAACGCCAGCGGCTTACGTTGCTCTGTAATTATTACAAACATTAAAGACACATTCCAAAAGAAGACGCCAGCAAGCAAGGAAACCGGAGCGGAAATGGCTCAATTTTTTCGGGGGAACCATAGCGAGCCACCAGATACTGCAGAACCCACGAAGTATTCGGGGCTTGTTTGACCCCCAGGGAGCTTTTCGCGACGCCGACGTGCCTGAACGCCGGCCATTATCCCTCCGTTTCCTCGTGGCGATCAAAGGCCCAGACGTGTGTGACAGATGTGCACTGGAGGAGGACTTTCTTTGTCTCTTCTTCCTTCCTGCAGATCAACCCGGCGGCTGGCTTTTCAAACGCTTCCCCCTCCGCGTGTGAACCACAGAGGCCTTTTCCTCTGTGCTCTGAGGACCGAGTGGTGATGAGCCGCCGCGGAGGCTCTCCATCCATCCTCCGCACTGCTACGTGTGCAAAAACACACAAATATAAATAACAAATCACTGGCGATGTGAGATATTGTAACTTCTCAAATATGACAGTGAGTCAGGGATTTTATCAGTTAATTAGGAGTTTATGCAGCCGAGGGCTTGGTGTGCAGTAAATAGTGGAGCTCCGTACTCCGCTGGGATTACTTCAGCCATGCATCAAAAGCCTCATCTTGTCCAACTCTGTGACTTTTCCATTAGCTTTGTAAATAACTCGACACTTTCTGAATATCAAACGTGAAAGCAGCGCGTTTTAACTGAAGCCTGTAATGCTCCCATAATGCAAAATTAAGAAAGCATGACTGAAGGGTTGCATTATTCGTCCCTGCTGCACGTGACGACGATGACAAAGAGTCCACATCGACTGCAGATGGACATTCATCAAAGCGGCCGCCAGGTCGGACCTCCAAGTCCGCATGACCGTAATGAGCCAGAAGCGACCATTAAACGGATTCAGCACACACATGAACAAGGCAGACTCCCTCAGTTCATGCAGTAGAACTGATGCCAGAACCATGAAAGGTGTCCTTCCCTTTGGGG